AGAAAGAAAGAAAGAAAGAAAGAAAGAAAGAAAGAAAGAAAGAAAGAAAGAAAGAAAGAAAGAAAGAAAGAAAGAAAGAAAGAAAGAAAAGATTGCTATATAAAGAAAAAAACTTACCGAAAGAAAGTGACATTTCAGGAGGAAGAAGGAGGAGGTAATGATGAGGGAAGCCTTGTGGTTACATAAGAAGGAAATTCTAGGTGAATGATATAACAAATGCAAAGACCAGAGGAAACATGCTATGTTCAAAGACAATAAGAAGGGTAGAATGGCTAGAACAGAGTGAACAAGAGGAAGAAGGGTGAAGTCAGAGAGAAGTTAAAGAGAAACACTGTCAAAGTACTGAAGTACACTGTAAAGGCTCTCGCCGGTAACCCTAGTTACTCAGGAGGCTGAGATCTGAGGATCATGGTTTGAGGCCAGCCCAGGGAGAAAAGTGCCCATGAGACTCTTATTTCCAATTAAGCACTCAAGAATCAGAAATGGCACTGTGGCTCAAAATGGTTGAATGCCAGCCTTAAGCAGAAGTGCTCAGGGAGAGAGCCCAGGCCCCAAGTTCAAGCCCACAGCTAACAACAATAATGATGACAAAAGAGTAGAAACAGGGGGATGTATGGAGAATTTACCACAGAAGTTTAAGCAAGAGAGGATGCTGGCTCAGATCAGAAAGGAAGTAGATCTGTTGAGAAATAGGTAGATTATGAATACATTTGGAGATCAAACAAAGGATTTGTTGACAAATTACATATGAAATGTAAAAGAAGAAAGTCTCAAATGACTTAACATCTTTGGGATAAGCAGTTGCTCAGGAGATGCCAGTGATCAAGGGATGAACACTACAGGGGAGCAGGTGCACAGGCATATCTAGATGTGTTAAAAGTTTAAGGTTTCCTCTCAGATAATCCAAGAGTACACTATGTGGCTGGGAATGCGGCTTGGTGGTAAAGTGCTTGCCTAGCTTGCATGAAGCCCTGGACTTGATTCCTTAGTCCTACACAAACAGAAAAAGCCTCAAAAAAAGGCTCAAGTGGTAGAGTACTAGCCTTGAGCAAAAGAAGCTCAGAGCCAGTGCCCAAGCCCCTGAGTTCAAGCCCCAGGACTGTCAAAAAAATAATTAATAATAAGGAAGAGTACACTATGTGTGTACTACCTAGGTTAAAAAAATGAATGTCTGCAAGAAAATCAAGTGGATAAATATAATAATTTTTCTGGTGGTGACTAAAAGATGTCAGTATCTAAACTTTTACTGATTTCCTAATATGGTACAAAGTTTACTACTTAAAAAGATCTCAAAAATTCCCAAAACTTAATGTTAAGGGAAACTCTTCAGTTTGATTATGTACCAGTGTACCCTTCAATCCACTCATAGTTCTGATAGTTCTTTCATGGAAAAGCAGCAAAGGCTAGCGTGGTAGAGACGACACTTACTGCTGAGGATGTAGAGAAGACCGGGGGGAAGGGTATTCCTGTGTCCAAGGGGGTTTGAGGAAGCTTTCCAGGCCCAGAGTGAAGGAGGTCTCGAAGGCTAGATCCCTCAGTTTTGTTGTTGGAGGCAGTGGGACCCAGTAACAGGCTGTTAAAAAGCTTTGGAGTCAATGGAGAGACTTTTGCAGTGGAGTTGAATGAGTCCAGCCCAAAGGGTGAATGAGACTCTTTATTGAGCACCGACCTCAGAGACCCTGCTTCTGTAAAAACATAACCAGGAATAGTATTAGGCACAGTAAGGAATATCCAGCTCTGCTATTTTTCCTGATATGAATTGCATATATTTCCTTTTGTTCCTATCTCAATTCTTTACTTTCTACAGCTTAGAAAAGTAGATCTTCAGAATACTTGTATTCATCTGGAGTGCTTGTTAGAAATGGAGATTATTGAGTCTTATTCCAAGAGATTCTAAGTGGGATGAAGGAATATGCATTTTGGTTTTCTTTTGGTCAGTCTTGGGTCTTGAACTCTTGGCATGTGTGCTGTTCCTCAGCTCTTCAGTTCAAGGTGAGCATTCTACCCCTTGAGCCACAGTATCACTTTTAGTTTTCTGGGAGTCTCATGGACTCTCCTGCCTGGGGCTGGCTTTGAACAGTGATCCTCAGATCTCAGCCTCCTGAGTATCTAGGATTTAGGTGTGAGCCACAGGCGCCTGGCCAGGAATGTGTGTTTTTAACAATTTCCATTTTAAATGACTGCTCTAAACCTAGCTCTAAATTCTGGCTGCAGAACAGAATCACCTGGAAAGCTTATTTAAAACCTTGCACCAATTCTGACTAAGGAGGTCGAAGGGAGGGCCCAGACACATGCATTTTTAAAATAGGTCTTCTAGGAAGAAACTGAAAGACATTCCCTCTTTTTATGTGACCAGTCCCAGAAAGCAAGGGGCATATTTCACAAATGTGGATGGGTAATGTCTGAGTCTGAGAATAATGTAAGGACTCCTCACAGAGAGTTAGGGCAGAGGCAGGTGTTCATCTCACCTTTTGTTTCTTCTTTAGCCTTTTGAGTTGCTAAATCTGCCAACCAATGCAGGGCAGAGGAAGGAGGAGCAGTGTCCGGGCACGGGGCCCTAATGGCTTTTAGCTCACTATTGCTATTTGATGCTGAACCATCAGCTTTCAAGGGCTCTTCTGATCTGATGTCAGTGCTGTCGGCTTTGGGAACTTGGTCGGGCTCTGGTGCTGTTACTGCTGTAGTTCCTCCTCCTCCTGAGAAGGTAGTTTCATTTCCAGAAGAGGCACTAGGGTTTATGCTAGGAAGCTAAGGCATGGGAAGAGTATTGGTTAGAAGCATGTTTAGGGTAGTGAGTTGCATACAGAAAATTAAACATGACTAGCAATGGCTGCTGATGTTACATAGATCTGGGAAGAAAAATCTGATACTGTCCCATAAACGGTTATTTCACCCATTCTATAAATTCAACATGCATTTGTTGAGTCTTACAATATGCCAGAAACTAGGTTATGTCCTAAGGAAACAAAGTAACTAAGACTAAAATTAAAGATTTAGCATGATTGAGATTATTTCTGCAATAGATAATCAGTTACTAGCTAGGCGATGGTGTCTCATGCCTGGAATCTTAGCTACTCATGAGGATGAGATCTAAGGATTGTGTTTCAAAGTAGCTGGAGCAGGAAAGTCTGTGAAACTCTTATCTCCAATTAATCAGCAAAAAGCTGGAAGTGAAGCTGTGGCTGAAGTGGTAGATAGAGTGCCAGGTCCTGAGTTCATGCCCTAGTACTACCACCAAAAAAAAAAAAAATCTATAATTCTTTCCAGTAAAAAAATCAGTGACTCATAAAACTGTTCTGGGAATTAAATGAGATCATATATGTAAAGGCCTTAGCCTATTTCTGGCACATACAAATATATAATAAATGTTTAGTACTTTATTGTAATACTGAATTTTCCAAATGATTTGTTTGATTGATATGTCAACTCTATTGAAATTTTATCTCCAGATTTCTTAGCATCTCTATGTCCCATATAATCAACTGTGTGTCAGTGGTGTCTCAGAAGTCCTTAAAAAAGTAAACAGTAGGGCTAGAGGTACAGATCAGTGGTAGAATGCCTGCCTAGAAGCACAAGGTCCTGAGTTCAACTAGTACTGACAAAAGAAAAAAAAAGTAATTGTTTTTTTTTTTCTTTCTTTTTTCTTTTTGTGTTAGTACTAAGGCTTAAATTTAGGGTCTTATACTATGCTGGTTTTGAACTAGAGTGAGCTAATAGCATTTGGCTTGCCCGGTTCTTTTAAAAAACCAAAACCCCAAGCCTGGTGCAGGTGGCTCATGCCTGTAATCCTAGCTACTCAAAAAGCTGATCTCAGATCTTGGTTTGAAGCCAGCCCAGCAGGATAATCCATGAGACTCTTATCTCCAATAATCTACTAAAAGAGCTGGAAGTGGAGCTGTGGCTCAAGTAGTAGAATGCTAGCCTTGAGCAAAAAGAATAGGAACAGCATCCAGGCAGAGCTGAAACCCTAGGACTGGCAAAAAATAGATAAATAAAATAAATAAAAGACAAGAAACCTACAGAGAAGGCTGAGGTCTTAGGACTGAAGTTCAAAGCCAGCTTTAACAATAGCCATGAGCAAAAAATCTCGGGACAGAGCCTACGCACTGAGTTCAAGCCCCAGGAGTGGCACCACAGGCAAACAAAAACAAAAACTAAAAGCAAACAAAAAACAAAAACACCTTGTTTAAAATAATAGTTACTGTAAAACCACAATATCTTCAATCTCTGAGAGAGCAATGAATAAATCACTATCTCTCTGGAGGCTGGGGATTGTTTTGAGAATAAAATAAACTCAACTCATTGGGGAAAAAAAAAATCTGTCTTCTGTATCTAACATGAACTCAAGTGATAGGGACCTTCTTACATCTGACTTTAAAGGCCAACAGTGCTCCTTGTAATCTTTTCCATATTTTCATCTGTACAAAGACCTTTTTTCTTTTTGGTCAGTCATGGGGCTTGAACTCTGGGCCTGAACACTGTCCCTCAGTTCTTCAGCTCAAGGCGAGCGCTCTACCACTTGAGCCACAGCATCACTTCTGATTTTCTGGTGGCTTATTGGAGATAAGTCTCATGGACTTTCCATTCCAGGCTGGCTTTGAACTGTGATCCTCAGATCTCAGCCTCCTGAGTTAGCTAGGATTACAGGTGTGAGCCACCTGCACCTGGCCAAAGACCCTACTTAATTTACTTAATTTATATTTGGTGCTGAAACAGGGGCTTTAACTAAGTCTGGTTACTGTCTTTTAGCTTTTTTGCTCAAGGCTAGTAGCTCTACCACTAGAGCCACAGCTCCACTTCTGCTTTTGTTGTTTACTTGGAAATAAAAAACTTTACTGCAAGAGCTAGCTTTGAACCACTATCCTCAGATCTCAGCTTCCTGAATAGCTAGGATTACAGCCTTGAGTCAAGATGGTCTATCTAAAGTATGCAACTTGACAAGATAATAAAGACTCTCCAAGCAACTTTTTTTTCCTGCGGGTCGTGGGGCCTGAACTCTGGGCCTGGGCATTGTCCCTCAGCTCTTCAGCTCAAGGCTAGCGCCCTAACACTTGAGCCACAGCACCACTTCTGGCTTTTTCGGCTTATGTGGTGCTGAGGAATCGAACCCAGGGCCTCATGCATGCAAGGCAAGCACTCTACCACTGAGCCACCTTTCCAGCCCTCTCCATGCAACTTATCAACCATGCTTGATTTAAAGATGAAGAAACTTCTTACAAAGTTTCCCCATTCCCGAATTCCCCAGAAATCCTTATAAAGCCTGGGACATTGTTGAAAATGGGCATTTCATGGTACTAAGAACTAATGCTTACTCATTTACACTCAGATATACTACTTACCTGTGACATCCCATTGGTGACAGCAGGTCTCAACACAGATTTGTTTTGCCGACTAATACAAGGGCAGTTTGCTTTAATTCCCCACTTGCCTCGAGCAGCATGTACCATGTCTCCAATATTGTAAAGAGCTAGAATAATAGATAACAGCTTATCAGGACATTTTTATGTGCCATATCTTGTACTAAGGGTTTTCTTTATATTATTTCCCTCAGTCCTTACTTGAACTCGGGGCCTGAATACTATCCCAGAGCTTTTTGCTCAAGGTCAGAGCTCTACTACTTGAGTAACAACTCCACTTCTACTTCCAGCTTTTTGTGGTTAAATAGAGATAACATCTCATGAACTTTCTGGCCAAAGTCTACATCCTTAGCTCTCAGCCTCCTGAATAGCTAAGAATACAGGCAGGAACCACTGCTTAGCTGTAAATGACTTTTATCCTTATATTTTGGTCATAAAACTCAAACTAAGAATTTAAGTCATTTGCTCAATCATGTAAAGTTGGTAAATATTAGTATGAAGACTCTTAACACAGGTTTAGCTTAGCCCCAATGTTCTGTACCTTCTAACCACTAAGCTACACTCTCTTCTTCAACAAACATTAACAAAAAATCCTCCAAATTCTAGGAGTGGATTCCTTAAAGGTTAAGAGTATAAATATTGTATACTTTTATTTATTTTAATTGTGAAAATACCATACAGAGGGGTTACAATTACATGAGTAAGGTAATGAGTACATTTCTTTCTTTCTTTATTTTTTGGGTCCAGTCGTGGGGCCTGAACTTTGGGCCTGGGCGCTATCCCTCCGCTCTTCAGCTCAAGGCTAGCGCTCTACCACTTGAGCCACAGCACCACTTCTGGCTTTTTTCTTTTTGCTTATGTGGTGCTGAGGAATC